TTTGCTTTACCAAAATGCAACACCTCACATCTACAAATGTACTAATCATACCTCCTATATCTTAAGGGAACTTATTCTTTTGCATTGACCCATGTATTGCAAGTTGTGAACTGCTGGAAGACCATGTCATCTGGAATCTTAGGCCGCTATGAGATAGATTTGCTCCTTTTTAGTTTGAAATCTACAGAGCCTGTTTGGTCTATCTTGTGAGTAGAACCATTATGTAGTCTAACGAGAAGAGGCTCTGGTCTTAAACACTGTAAATTATTCTACAATAGCAATTAGGCCCAAGTTATACTGATATGATAGACATTGTTACAGTGTCTGTGAAGGAAACCTCGGTGATAGGTATGTCTCCTTCAAGATTCACTGCTATTCTCCCACCCAAGTCCATAGGACATCATCAGATTGGGTAGTGCTTAATGTATGCCTCAGCACTGATGTTTTCAGAGCCCAGTATCTTATACAACAGATCAAGCAGCTTAGAGGAAATTTTGAATAATACTGTAGTTTGTGTCACATTTCCATATAATTTAACCTTGAGTACAGATATCATTTAATAAGATGTGACATAACCAGAGTTTTGTGGCATATTTTCTACATGCTTAAATTCCACTCTTTTAGATATTCAGGCCAGCATTAGGAATATCAGATCAAGAGTAGTCCATTCAATTTGTCAATCCTCCTCTACCATTCAGTTAGATCATGGCTGATCATTAACCCCAATGCCACTATTTCCATGCTATTGGACTCCAGAAATCTACTCATTTCTGTGGCAAACATGCTCAATGATTAAGTACTCACATCTCTCTGGATTTTAAAATTTCAAAGACTAACCACCCTTTTAGCGGAAAATGCCTCCTCAGTTTGGTCATAAGTGACCTACCTCTTCTTATGAGACTTTGTCCCTTGGTTTAGACTCTCCATCTGAGGAAACATCTTGTCAACATCCACCCCTTCATACTGCCTAAGAATTTTGGACACTTAAATCAGATCACCTTTCATTCCCTAAAACTCGAGAGAATGCAGACTCAGTTTCCTCAATCTCTTTTTACAAAATGCCCCATCATCCCAGGGATTAATCCATTGAACCTCTGTTGCACTCCTTCTATGGTGAGTATCTCCTCCCTTAGATGAGGAGACCAACATCAATTAAATATTTCATATAACAAGAATTCTTATTGCAGAAAAGTTCATACCCCTAACACCCTTTGCATGTAAAACTGTTTCCTAACCTCAAAACTGAAAGGTTTATTTCTAATTTGTAGATGTTTCTCCCTAGAATTAGATTCCCCCTGCCCCCCAATTCACTCTATTAGCTCCGAGAAATTAAATAGTAAATATTATTATGTACACCGTGCTCCAGTTTGCAATATCACAAAGGCTGAATCTATACTTTACTCCATTTGCAATGAAAGCCAACCGAAGATTTGCTTTCTTTATTGATTGTTGCATCTACGTGCTAACTTTTTATGGCTCATGGACAAGCACACAGGTTCTTTGGACACATACACTTCTGTATTTTCTTCTGTAAAGACAAACACAAAGTAATTGTTTAGTTTCTTTGCTGTTACCCCGTTCTCCAATATCAATTCTCCTGCCTCTACCTACAATGGGCCCACATTTATCCAAGCTGAACTTCTGTTCATATACCTAAAGCAGCATTTCCGGTCTGCTTTTGTATTTCTTGCCAGCTTGCATTCATGCTGTCTTTTCCCTTTCTTTGTCAGTTACTTGATCATCATTTTCTGGATTCCAAACTGCTTCTAATCGTCATGTTTATCATTTATTCTGGCATCCTTGTAAGCCACTTCCTTTAATCTAATGCAATTTTTAACTTGGATAACAAGATGTAGAGCTGGATGAATGCAGCAGGCCAAGCAGCATCAGAGGAGCAGGAAGGCTGACGTTTCGGGCCTAGACCCTTCACAGGAAGGCTGAC